ATCAGTCATGGTTAGGATACTGATGAGAAGTGCAGCTCCACAAAGAATCTCACAGGGCCTGCGTGTTGTCAGTGAGGTGATTTATATAAATGATAGGCATAATTGTCAGTTAGAAGAAGGATAATTACATAAGTGGTGAGAGATTAATGTGGAAAGTGTGCGAGACAGTCTAAACGACTAAGTAATGGTGTCCAATATTTAATTGCATCTAATTGGGAGGCCCCTTTGATCCTGTGGCTTCTTGTTAGAAAAGAGGCTTTCATGTCAGACGCTGACCCTTTGGGTAAACAGAGGACAAGATTGATGCATTAAGAAGATTTTTTTTTTTCTTTTTCCCCACCATCAGGCACAGGCTCAGAAGCCTGACAGCCTCATTATCAGCCACCTCTGCAGAGGCCTCCTCCTGGAGCTGAGAGGCTGACACACTCCCTCCTCTCTGCATGGGTTTGCAGGGAGCTGGCTGCCATACAAATGCTCATAGCAGAAGCTAATCTTTTCTGCACACAAATACTGGATCCTTATTAACAACTGCTTTGCCAGAGGGCCTATTTCTACACATCTGCTGGGACGGATCGCAGCAGTGGAAACGGTTACATCCAGCAGCACTAATCAACTCCAGCCCAGTCCCTGCTAAATTAGATGGGAGGGCAAAATAGTGAATGCAAAAAAAAAGATGGAGAGAAAGGGGGAAACCAGGAGAGGGCAAAGAGGGATGAGGAGGAAATCCAGAAGAGAGGGCTGGATTGAGAGAGATAAAGAGATGAGAGAGGCACAGATAGACATACATATTCAGCCGCACAAGTGAGGACCACATTCCCTCACGCCCCTGATGTCTGACTGCTGGGTGGATATGTTCAGCCAGATGCAAACGGCTCACTGGAGGATGCTTCACAGGCCCGAAGACAGACCAAAGTTCATTTCTCAAGATAGGGTTGTGCAATATCATGCATGCTTTGGCCCGAACGTGGCCAGAGACAATGTTAGGATGGGAGAGTGAAAGGCTGTGTCAAAAGCCAAGAGAAAGGGAAGAGTTGTGCTCCAGTTTCATCGAACCTGAAGAAAAACCATCACCATGACTGATGCAAATGATGAATAGAATATTTCCAGGACAAAAGGAAAAACACTAGACCATACCCTGTCGACGTCTCCATTAAAAGTGATAACTTATTACATTTGTGAAACGGTTTTTATGTGAGCAAAAGATAGCTGGTTTTTATTCTGAAAAGATCTCTCTTCTGTGTTCTGAAACCACTCAAACAGTTTTGGAAGCTGACAGCCGGATGGCAATTTGAACGTAAACCCTGAAGATTATTTTCGCAATCACACTTCATAATTTTTAAGTGGCCCTCTCTTGCAAGAAAAACCAGATGTACGGTGTAATATTAGCATCACGGCATCCGCTTGTGTGCACTCACTGGTCCACGTCGAGACTGGCAGGCTCGAGTTTATGACTTCCGTGCCTTCACACATCTGATTCAGGTTATGGTATTTGGTGTTACACGCAAGGAAACAAAATATCTTTCCTTTTTTTCCATCCACACAGTCGACTGTGTTATGTCTCTTTTTGTAAAGATTTAGAAACTATCCCATAAAACAAAGGAAACCAGACACACTGTGGTATCCTGCGAGGGGGCCTGTAAGTTGTCTGTTGCATGTAAGAATTTTATCTCTTAACTAAGTCTAAAACTACAAGCTTTAATCATCATTATTATCACTTGTAACACATCCTTAATAATAGAAATAATTAAAAAAGTGAAGGATATCTAGTAATAAGTAATAAGTATTTCTCTACTTGGATTTTACAGCTTTAACTTTCAGAAAGGACTTAAATACCTCCTCCACCACTGTTTTCTCTTCTTCTCTGACCTATTTTACTCATACTGTTGTGGATCCACTTATGAATGGGTCCTGACTCAAATGTCACTTTTATTAATCCTATCCACTGATCATGCTTCCAAAAAACAGATGCCAGATATCTACAAGTTAGCTTTGTTGGAAAACAAATGATTTCTTTTCTTCGCTGTGCAGCTTTACCATGCACGCTTCCCTTTTCAGTGAAATCAGAGGACAATAATAACTTTACCTGCTGCTGTTCTGCATGTCACATAATTCCAGTTTAAGGCGTTTGTGTGGATTTGAAGCAACTCTGACATGGCAGATCTAAGTCCATACAAAGAAGGCAATGATTAAATTTTTTTTTTTTTTCCTCCTCATTCCACCCTGCCCTCACAGGGGCATTGTCATCTAAAAGGTGTCACTGTTCCTCAGAGACGTGAGCAGTTTGTCAGGGGAGCCTGGGTGTGTGGTTTCTCTCATAATGTCATTTTCTGGCTGACATCCTGCAACCTAAAAACTACAGAAGGTACAAAAGCAGCCGAGTAAGACAATGGGTCTGGTCCTTGTTATCTTTTTTCTTTTCATTTCTTGCAAGTAATTGCTAGAAAATACACAAATCCATTGAAAAGGCATGTTTGCAATGAGACAGAAACAGATTTTTCTCCAAAAGCAACATCCTGGAGGACCTCAAACCCAGCAATAATCTCAGACAAAATTAAATTAAAAAAAAAACGCCCACACACAAGCTGGGTGATGTTTTTAAGAGTGTTTCAGTACAGTAGGAGAGCAAAGACCTTCACACAGTACAGGGAAGACAAAACAATCCCGGCTTTACCGACATGTTCAGAACAGATAAGACAGATGGTTCTTCTGAGGGGTGACAGAGCTCTTCCATTAAAATCTAACCCTACATGAGCTTTAGCTCCAGGAAGGAAGACATTTATACTCACTTTGTGATCAAGATGTGTTTTTGGTGATGAATTAGTCATCTTTAGGACCCCAAAAAAACCTTTTAAAAGACCTTTTAATCCATTTTCATCAGCCCAATAATCTGTATGACACCTCAGCCCTTTTACAGTTTAACATCCACACCCGGTGCTGTTCTGTGGATGTGTTGGCCACCCACATCTGTGTGCATAAGTTATAGTAGCAGTGAGACACTTATTTCCAACCATTAATGGGTACATGGCTCTAAATTTTACAACTTCATGATCGAGGACGTCTCGTTTGTGCTGACACAGCAGGTCTCCGTTCACAAATAACCCCAGCCTCCTTCTCCCCCCCCTCTTGACAGAAACTGGCAGCACACCATTCTGAGCTCAGTGGAAGAACACAACGGCTTTATCTGCCTGCACGATGCTTTGATTATGACTGAGTCTGGAAATTACCCTGACTTTAACACTTGAGGTCTCAAAATCATGAATCAAGTTGTGCTGCAATCGGCCAGAAATATCTCTGGCGTCTGCCTCTCCGTCTTCTTCTCGACTGAGCGCATTTGTTGTCACCGGTAGTTCTCGTGTGTTTACTTTTTAAGCTCCAAGATCGGTTATCAGGTCCAGCATCAAACTGTGAGCTCGGCTGTTGCCAGATGCTCGCTAAAACATCTGGATGCACCACCGTGACTGCAAAGGTGTGGTATTTCCTGTTGGAAAAAAAACAACTATGGGAGATATTTGCATCAGAATAATCATTATCAGGGATGGAATCTGCTTGAGGTCTGAAAAGAGAGAGAAAAAAACAGGGCTTTCATACTTTTTGAAAAGGCAATGTTTACGGATTGGAATGTCCCCTTTCCCAACCAAGTCATGGGATCATTTTACGGCCAGTTTTTATAGTGTCCCCATGTGAAACGAAGCATTATCGAATATGATTAGCTGGGAATTGCAAACAGCGATGAGGGCCTCAACGCATAATGAGAAAATGTCTCACAGTCCTCAGAGCATCGAATGGAGCACAAAGACAGAGGACTGTAACATGACCCCTGCAACATATACCTAAGCAAACCTATGTGCGAGCAGTTTCTGAGCTGCATTCTGTTGCCTTTTTGAGAAGAAGCTGAATTACGCGTGGCTGGCAAACATCCTGGGTATGTTTTCAACATCGGAGGACGTTGCCCCGGTCAGGATTGTTCTGTCACAGTGAGCGACTTTGTTGGACAGAACCAGGGGGGACAGTCAGACGGACAGGCACACTGGCAAGTCTGTTGGGTCGTGTTTGTGTTTGTTGCCATAGCAACAGTTGGGCAATGGTGGAAGCTTATTGCTCAGAGGACTGAGGGCAGCCGGGCAGGGCCCAAAAAAAAAAAAAAAGACTGCAGACAGGGCCCAGAAAGAACCCAAAGAGGAAGCATCTGGGACATCATCAAAGACTCGGGCCGGCCTCAGCTGCTCCAGGAATGTGCTTTTGTTACCCACAATGCAACAGCGCGGGTGGGGTGGAGGTTTGGCATTTCTAAAAAATATTTAAGAATCACTATTTCAAATCAAACATCCCTGCTGCTGAGATGGAAAGTTTGCCCTTGTCTGAGTTTGGAAGTGGCAGTTTTTCCAGATGCATCACATAACCTGAAGGGCAGGGTGTGTTTCTGAGAAGAAATAAAAAGGTGGATGTTTGATAATGAAAAGTAAAGAAATAAAAAGGGGGGTTTATTTGTTGAGAAAATTTAGAGGCTATTGTTAGCAATTTTCTTGAGTTATTGATTTTATCATCTTTTTTACGTCAGTGATTTGAGGTGAGCATTTATTCCTTTTTTGGCCCCAGCTCTGACCAGTAGCACAACAGTAACAATACATTTCCAGTTTGGAAAATTCTGGAAATACTTGTTCCCCCATGTGGATTAGCACTGTTTTGGTTGTTCCAGAAATAGATCTTTTTGCATGTCATCAACCTCTCATTTGTCTGGGGTTCATGCAAAGCTGTTAGAAAGGTTTAAATGATTGGATCATTCTGAGCGGGAACAATGAAAAAACATATCTGATGGTTATCATGGGATTCTTATGGCCCTTTGAATGGACACATTTCCACAAGTGTGTTATGGGGAATAAATTTAAAATAAAAGATGATGATTGTGTTTTTTTCATGCATTTTGAAATGTTTTATGTAAGACATGTTTTACTGAGCAGATAAATAGCCTTAGGGAACATCCTTTTTTATTATAGTAATAAGATAATTATAAGATATAAAAAAGGTTAATTATGTCGTAAATCTTGAGTTGTAAATTTTCATTGTGTTTTATTATACTGAACAGAGGTCTACCCTTTACCCTCCAAAAAATCTAGACAATTAAATAGGAATAAGCTATTAAAATGGCACAAATTTAAACAAAAGTTTAATCGGGATGAGACAAGACATGAACGTCATGGTGAATCATGATAATACAAAACTAGAAAACTGAGTCTTAACACATTGAAGACAAAAGAAAAATCATGCACACAAAGCGTTCGCTCAGAACGAGAGGACAGTTTGTCTGCAGGTTTTTATTGCGACTTCTGACAATGCTGGCTTTTAGCATCTCATTTCCAGGCACCAATTTCACTGAGGGGGTATATCCTGTGGAGGAAGCACAGAGAGCGTGTCAGACAGCAGGGAGTGCTGGAATGTATTTGCTTGCAGTCAAAGTCTAAGGAAATAACAAGGTAATGTACTAGATTTAAAAGGGGTATACGCATTACCTGTTTATTTGTAGGAGTGGCTCTCAGCTCCACCGCGTCCAAATCCTAAAAAAAAACACAGGACGATTTGCAGGAATCAGACTGGGCGTAATAAAAGAGCTATTATAGCCACGCCACAACAACATGGAGGTAAGATCATTGTCCCCACGCCAGGTGTTACCAGCTGAGACAAAGTCTAACGGCCAACACCGAGCTCCTGGCAAGGCAGGTCAATAACAGTATGCGTTATGGAATAATAAAAGGTTTATATTTTTGCGATAGCTGTTAAAAGATGGTTTTTTTTTTATCTTAATTACTCAAGGCCGTCGACCTTACCTTTAGGTCCAAACATAGCAGCATAGCAGGGGTTGTGACAGTATGGCTTCCCTTCATGCTGTAAGAAGCATGAAGAAGAAGTTTTAATTGCACAGTTACAAATTGAGAAATAAAAATCGTCAAATTGATAGTGTTTTGATATCCAATAATGTCTTGGAGTCCTTAACTGATCATTTATGGCATGAATCAAAAACATTCTATGTAAATGTAGGAATAATGTCTAGATCTGTTTTTCTTTTGTGGGATTCAGAAAAAAAGGTTTCAGTCGCTGATGATTTGTTCATGTCTTGTTCAGATATTTCACCTCTGCGTGTGAGCCAGCCGACAGCGTCTTGTTGCACTTCTCACACTTCAGACACGGCCTGTGCCAGTCCTTTCCCAGGGATGTCACCCTCTCAGCTGCCAAACGCACAAGAACACACAAATTGAATTGCAAAGCTTTGAACTTGCGACAAACACAGACGCTATTGTCTGCAGAGGAGTTAATCTGCAGGGCACAGACCATGAGCTCATAGAGCAGTTCATTTACGTGCAATGACTATCCCGAACCATAAAGATATTCTCACTGCAGATTAGTTTGAGAACATTGCTGGGTGTGGCACTTGAGGGAGAGAGAGAAGAAAAAAGAAAAAAAACAGTCCCTGAGGAATTTCTTCTTTAAGTGCCTCATAAAACTCTGATAAAGAAAGTGTTTATCTGTTTTTGCTGATCTGCACAAGTACTTGACAGGAGGACTGTAAAAGTAGAATGTGATTCAACACGACATGCCCGAATCTCAGGTCTACACTGGAGTTATGATTCATTCTGAGACTCGTGACACAGGGGAAAATGCATTTGAATGCGCAGCCAAATAAAAGGCTGCTCAGTTTCACAGAGTCGACCTCAGAGGCCAGGCCCAGGAAATGCTGAAAATGAAGAGATATCATCAGAAGGCTGGCTTGAAATAACGAGCAAACAGAAGGATTTTAAAACGAGAAAGATTGAAAGAATGTCAGGAAGGGCAACATTTCCCCCTGGGTGACTGAGAGATAACTATAGCTGCAGATGAAGCCGCTGGACTCCAAACATACACAAAATGTCAGAAAATGACATACTCCCTTACTAAAAATAGCCCGTTGTAGCATGAGATTACAAAACAGGCAGTGGAAACAGGAAGGGCTCTGGGGATGGGTCAGCCTCTCAGGCCAGCTCCATGAAAACCTCCCAGCTGAAAGCGGTGGGCTTTGGAACAAACGGGTGACCCGTGGAAATAACGGCACTTAAACCGAAATAAACCACTGGGCTGGGTAAACCGGGGCGCTCGGCCCAGTGGTATGAGGAAAAGAGCCCATCCTAATTCGCACGAAGTGGGGCATGGCAGATGTGTTGAAATCCCAACGGCTCTCTCTCATCAGTTTGCTGTGGATAGCAAAGTGGAAGTAGTCCAGCATACACAAACATATCACTCTAACAGGAAACAAGCTGGGAGGAGAAATATAGGTATTTGCTTCAATCTGCCCCTGAAAAAGTTCATTACCAAGTTTAATGGTGAGGCATTGAACCATTTATCCTGCTTAAGAAAACAGCTACGAACGCGGCCTTTGGCTTATGGGAGTTACTTATTGCTCTTTATTTCATAAACGGCAATTAAACATGGCGCTTCCTTAAGGCTCTTTAAATGATGCACTTGAGGTTTTGAGATATTCATCCATATAGATGGCGCTTGTAGGGGCTCATGCCAGAAAAAATTGGCGAGACACTGCTCCTATTGACGCCTTAACTGACGCAGCACGCTGCCAACGGCAGTCCTGCTGCACAAAGAATGACTGACTGTGGAGTTTCCAACAAAGCAAAAGCGTTCTACCGTTCCCCGGAGTTGGACCTCCATCATTCGGGCTGGGCTGCGGTAGCCTGATTGTTTCCATCTGAGAGCTAAGCAGCAGAGGCAGAGGAGGACGAGGGGGTGGGGGGGGGGTGCAGCTGCGGGGCGCGATGGAGCGCGCAGGCTGCAGGGTGAGGGAGTCAGGCACGAAGTCTGCCGGGGGAAGTGGGAAACCGATGCGGACGGTCGAGGACAATGACACAGCTGTGCATCATAAACAAGAAGGCAAAGCTTTGTTTCTGTGTGCTTTTCCCCCGGCTGCGCTTTGGAAGTGAACTTCCTCTTTGGAAAATGCCTTAATGGCTTGTTCTGGCAAAAGCTAATTGGGATGATTGTATTGGACAGGAGGGAAAAGTTTATCCATGAAACGGGAGAATGGAAAGGCAGTCTCCCCGGTCACACGGTCCATTCGTCTGACTGACAGTCCAAATGCTTGGCTTTGTTCTCTCCTCTGGACTTGGCCGCTGAGCATCTCTCTGGAAAAGATTTATCTGCCACACCGCTGAGCGGGAGACGATGTGGTAAAAGGATTAAGACAGAAATAAAAAACAGTGCTGTGCGCATTCCTCCCAGGATGCAGCAGTAGGTCTGTGCTTTGATAGTATGCCCATGAGGGACAGAGGACCACACCGACAAAAGGGAGGTGCGCTTCAGCAGAGTTTCCCCAGCTCTGTCTTAGCGTTACTCATGGAGCTAAAGGGGAACTATCAAGTTGTGGCCTCCCGTGAGGGCTGCCAGGCTTTAATTTGCAGAAATGCAAACACACAAGAAGACCTCCACATTTCGGATGCTCTCTCCCTCCATTTCCTTTAACATGCAAAAACCTTCAGTGTTAAGAGTGTTCCTCCATCAGACTGCAGCATATACGCAGATGGAACAATGACTACTGTAACAGCAGCACTCAGATGATTTGTTACCATGTTGTAAAATACTCCATTACATGTAAATGTGGTAAGTGTTTAACATATCTGGTTGTTTTTCCTCCACTGGTGGAATGCAAGTGACTATTTTTGTTGTGCTCTAATTAAGTGCAATTTTGTGGCATTTGCACAGTTTTTTTTTCCTTAAAAAAAAAATCGAGTTTAAGTGGGAACATGTTCCTGCTTTGTCTCACTGGCACACTAAACTCTGGGAACAGTTTTAAGAAGATTATTCTGATGGATTTTTAAATAAAGACTCTAACGATTGTGACATGCAAGATATGGATTGATTAGATTAGTTTGAGCAACTGATTACAGTATATATTCAAGTGGTGAAAAGTGTCCAAAAACATCAACACAGCATTTTTTTAAAATTAAGTAGGTAATTCATAATTTCTCTAATATTTGTATTCGAATAATAATATCTAATACAAAGGCACGTGCTTGACACGGTCAAAGTGTTAACTTCAGCTTCCTGTTTCCTCATCTGTAATTTCAACAACCAGGAAACGCTGACAGCGCGCCGTTTCTTCGCTCTAAACTTCAAATAAATAAATTGAGGGAACAAAACGCGGGTAATTCTTACCGAAATAAACCTCCTTCTGGCACTTAGGGCACTTCGGCATTTTGTTCTAGCTGTTTGTGTGGTGGCGGAGGAGAGAAAAAGTAGATCCTGCGGATGGAGATGCGTGCAGCTGTGCAGAAGGGGCCCACCTGTTAGCGCTGACTGACCACGCCTCACTGGAGTGCAGATGTGCGCTCCGGCCTGTATTTATACCACCGAGGAAATAGTTCAACTGAAACTTTTCTGTTTTTTTCGAAGTGGGAGAGGCCACAGACACGTTGTGTGGAGGACTCAGTGTGTGCTTGTGTGTGTGTGTGTGTGTGTGTGTGTGTGTGTTCAGAAAGCATCACATGAGGAAATGACATACAGGAATGCGCCTACTACTCTTATGATTGTCATAATATGAAATTACATGTCTCGTCTTGACAGCTCCTTTGAAAAGCATCGAGTTGCTTTGTCTATTCTAAAGTGTACTTTTATTTCTACTTACTTAGGCCTTTCAGAGATGGATGGACAGAGATCAGAAACAGCTGTTCTTGAGCTGACTCCCTAAAGGGTCACAAGGTTGAACCAACCAGTCACAAGATTATCATAATTTCTCATTTATTTCTTTTCATATGTTTATCTTGTACACAAGTTTGGCTTCAGTCTTCGTCCTTTTGAAATTCAACCACATGACTGAATTTCAGCTCTAATTTGCTGACCAATTGGTGACCAATAAAAAAGATTAGAATAAGATTAAACTTGATGGGCTGTCATTATCATGATCATTTTCAGGTCTGTAATTATTTGGTTGCCAATTTAAATTTGCGCAGTAAGACAATTCATTATCTTATCTCTCTTTTGTTAGTCTGTCACCTGATAATGAACTATGGAAACCATTTTTATCTTTCACACACTAGCTGACAGAATGCTGAATTATTAATGGTCTGCCCATATTATGTGTCCTATTCAGATTCAAACCTCTGTGACCACTTCATCTGCCAGTGCGTAGGTGCCTGAACAATAACTTTGGTTTTAATTCTAAGTATGTCTTTGTTTTTTGTCTTCAGTGTGACATTAGCGGAGGGACCACCCTGCTGCCAATGCCATAGTTCTGTTGATGTTTGACTCCAACAGTCTATTCACTGTTGAATGGTAACGTGACCCGCTTGAAGAATAGTTAAAGCCAAGGGGATGAACAGACTTGGCAATGACTGAACACAAACCTTTTGTTTTGCGAAAAGAGCATTGCTAATGAGGCGAGAACTGCTTTAACTGGCCAAAGCACGAACTTCATCTATGTCAGATTAGGAGAATGTGGTTAAGCTTAAAACACACAAACGGTTACCTGTCGTGTCTTTACTGAGCACACCTGTTAAACCCTCATCAGGCAGGTGGTAAAAGGGAGTGAACGCTTTGATTGAACAACAGCAGGCAGTAAAAGAAAAAAAAGTATTATTGTGACTGCAGGTTTGACATGCACAAAGTTCAGGGGACTTGTTCTCATATTCTGATGATGTCTGGTCTAATAACTGAGCAATATTTTTACCTCTACATGTGAGTTGATGACCGAGAGCAGTCCGCACCAAGAAGCAGCACGGCAGCTCCAGATGGATAACGCTGCATCAATCATGCCTCAGCTCTGGGCTGATGTTATGATCTTTTAAACTGACATTATTCTTTGTGGTATGCCTGCAAGCCAAAGATCCAATCCAAATTTCTAGAGACCACAGAAGAATGGAGCACTGGCAAATTTCAGAGCCGTGCTGTTTTGGAGTGAAGAGTTCAAAAGGGGAATGGCAAAGCAGAGATTGTACAAACCAAGAGATACAAGTGGAGGAGAGATTGGAAAATGGACCGCTGCAGATCATTTTTGGCCTCAGGCCTAAAAGCTGACATGTGTGAACATGATGGAGGGTTACATAAGTGGCTGATTGCACTGTTGAATCAAGAAATAATCATGACGACTTTTCAAAAATAACCCATAAGGTTAGGAATTATAGCATTCAATCAGTTGAGCATTAGCTGCACAGCTTCTGGTTTTTATGAAGAAGTGTGGCAGGCTGAGAAGTGATTTCATAATAACGATGAAGATGATGTCATACAGCTCTCCAGTTTGCACTCCCCACATCTCTTGGTTAATCATAGCATCGCAAACAGATCACACCCAAGTCCTTCGACTTTTGAACTGATCAATACGATGGCAAAGTTGTTCTCACTCCATAACCTGTGTGTGTCTGCCTGTGTGTGTGGGTTGTTATGGTTACATTTATGATTTGAATGCCGCATATACAGACACACCTTCAGAGTGACGCTTTTTCTTTTTTTCTTTGTCAACCACAGTTGAGTGACGTCTACAAGATAACAAACCCCTCCAAGGGTTTGAGTAATAAAATCACTATGGCAACCAAACAGATCTCTGTTCTGTTAATCGACTGGCTGTGTGACATAGGAAAGCGATGCTTGGCAGCGTGTTTTCGCTTTGTTGGTGCAGTATAAAGAAATGGCTTAAGTCATCCAAGATATAAAAGTAATGTTAAGTGTCAATAAGCCTGTAGGCTGATGTAGAAGCACATAACAGGCAGTGTCAGGCCAGAGACATGAAAGTATTGCACATTTACTTTAAATGATCAGCCAGTAGGGTCGTGTTACAAAGAACAAATGTTAACAAATGTGAACAGCAGCAGCCAGCATGCCAAAATAAATTAAAAACAGGGAAATTCAATCGCCGTGCATGCTAACAAGGTAACTGATCCCATCTCCAGCTGTGGAAAATTTGCCCTGGGATGCTTCAGGAATATGAACTGACAATAACTAATTGTCAACGTACACTGTCATCCCCTTCAGTTGTGGTTGACTGTGACAGATTTACCTGCAGGGTTTGACGTGGGGCTCTTTGAAATGAGTAATTCACTTCATGGGCTGGTGTTCAGGGATGACAGGCAGAAGCTTTGCCCTCCACAGAATAACCAATGAGGTCATCTCTCTCTGTACCTTTGTAGTTGGATGGGTTTGGCAACAGCTTTTGTACAGCCAGTGAGGTTGAGGTATTGCTGCCACATACTTACAGCTTGTACTGATCAGCGCTGTTCCCTTCAATTACACAAGATTAACATGGAGGGTTCATGCTCTAAATGACTAACCACTCACAGTGAATGAATGTTAGAAGTTAAAAACTGAGAGATTTGTTAAACATTCAAAGAGTGGGATGTGGTGACATGTAGTGACATGTGTTTATCCAGTGTTTGGTGTTTGGTTTGCCCTCTCTGGCCTGGTGCTGTAGTGAAGAAAAAGGTGTTAAGAACCCACACATTTTGTGGATATGTGCCAGCTTTAAGGTGATGAAAATGCAGAGACTCTTATCTATGTGAAATCGTGCACTTGGAAATTGTGTTATATTAATCAAAATCATGCTCGTGAGGAATATATTTCAGTTCTGCTTTAAGATCCCACAAATGTTACATATTATATAAAAATACATAGGTACAACAGGATGAGACTGTAATTTTGCTATTTAATCAGAAATAAATTAATCAGAATCAGAATCAGAAATACTTTAATAGTGTTCCAGTCACAACTGTTAAACTTGCTAACATTTTGCCAGCAAATACAAACGATCCATGTTGAATCGACAAAACATTAAGCAGCTGCTGTCATGTAAAGTTTTTCTAAATGTGATTACACAATGGAACTGTCTACCCGGATTACTCACTTACATCTGACTGAAAAAAACACTTCTGGATTGATACAAAATATGAAGAATAAATTAGACATTCTTCATTCTCAGCTGAAATATGAATGACTTATGGAATAAGTTCAGAGTTACTTGTAGTTCGGTGGAATAAATCCATTTAATTTCTTGTGGGATTTGATGATCAATCCTGCTCGGTTTGATTTTCTTCTGGGTTTGTTGACTATACTGCATATTACTGTCTCAGTAATTGGACACAGTGATGCATCAGGGTTCATGCAGGGAGCACCAGGATCAAGGAATCTTTTTTTTTATGGTAGTCGGGAGTAAAGAAAAACAGCTCTAACAGATCTGTTAGGAGGAAGATGGAACTGGGAAGAAAAGGAAGCCAAGGAGCTTGTTGAAGGAAGACACTGTGTCCATTCTCTGAAGCGCAGACTGTCAGAGTGGCTGAGTCATGAGGGGAAGGTCTGCCTTTTCTCACGCCTGAAAGCCTGCTGCTACACACATACTGTACTGTAGATGTATTCACGCTGACATTTTAGCTTTCTTAATAACAAACACATGTTTGTACTATACATTCAGATATATTGGCGTCGACACATAAAGACGATGAAGCCAAAGCAAAAAACTTTGACCTTTGTTCCCAGAGGCTAAGTGAGCAGACTCTAGGTGATGCGTTTCCAGATGGGTGCGGGTCAGTGCAAATACATCTGCAGGTTTAAGTACTTGATCGAGTATTCAGTATCCATGGCCTAAATCATCATAATGCTTTCGCTATGCAACAAACATGAACAAAAGGAGTTTGGAGAAAGTTCCCTGCCTCTCAGCTTTATTTCCCAGCTCAGGTTTTCTTTGGTCCTCATGCTCTTTATCTCTTCCTGCCTTTGATACCCCTGTTACCTCACCCTCTTCCAATGACTGGACGTAGTAACATGGGAATGTCTGCACTTTGTTGTGATTGTCAGAGTGATTAATGGTCTCTGGTTTTATCTCCACCCCAGGGGCATAGCACTCGATAGGCTCTGCCCTGTGGGCAAACTTCATTATCATTCAGGACTGCCATATGTGCAATCAAAGAAGGGAAAAGTCATGATCTACTTCAACACCATGACTGTGTGTTGACCTGCAATGAAATACTGTCAACTGACATAATGAGGTGTCATAAGTTTCCTTTTTCCCAATGCAACACTTATTTAAAAAATGTGCCATACTCAGATAACAAAACAACTACCTGTATTACTGTCACTCAGCTGGCTGACATTTGTGCTGTTATTTGTCCTGCATCACATCATTTTGAAGGCATCATGTTGAATTAATCTTAGCTTGTGTGAGGATGAATACCCACTAAAGCTCCTGTTAAACCAGCTTCCTCTAGAGCAGTGAGTGGTGAGTGGATGTTGTTGAAAGGGTGAGTGAATCCAGGTGTCATGATGACAAAAAGGAAGATTTTTTTGTTGACACAATAGATACAGACATAAAGCCGCCATCTCCTGCTGATTTTGAATGGTGTATTAGGTGAG